TGTGTGTGTGTGTGTGTGTGTGTGTGTGTGTGTGTGTGTGTGTGTGTCTGTGTGTTTGTATGTGTATGTGTGTGTGTATGTTCAAGTAAATGCATATATGTGGATGTAAGTGTGTGTTTATGTACCAGAAGTCAACATCAATGTCTTCCTCAATTGCTTGTTCATTTTTAAAAATATTTATTGTGGCTTGTTGCGTATGGGTGTTTTGCCTGCATGTATGTCTTTGTACCATGTGCGTGCCTGGTGCCCATGAAAGTCAGAGGAGGGCACTGACTCTGAACTGGAGTTAAGTCGTTAGCCACTGTGTGGGTGCTGGGAATTGAAATTGCATCCTCTAGAAGAGCTGCCAGTGCTCTTAATAGCCAAGCCATCTCTGCAACCCTGTCCACCTTAGCTTTTAAGACAGGCTTTCTCCTTGGACCAAGAGAGTACCCATTTGACTTGTCTGGCTAGGATCTTCCTACCCCTGGCTTCCTGCTGGGATTACAGGCTCATTCTCTCCTGCCCAGCTCTTTTCCATGGGCTCTAGAATGTAAACTCAGATCCCTAGGCTTGTGTGACAAGCACTTTGCCCACTGGGCCATCTTTCCAGACCCCAGCCTTGATCTCTTGATCCTCCTGTTTCAGCCTCCCGAGTGCTGAGATTACAGGGGTACACCACCACAACCCCCTTGTAACCTATCTCAGTGCATATGAGCCCCCGCGTCTACATCAGGGGTGGCATCAGACTCTGCGAAAGTAGGCACAGAAGGAAGAGGAGTGGGAGGAAAGCTATTCAAGAAGCTGCTCAGTTGTTTCCGTTCTCCCTCACCTGCAAAAAACTAAAAAGCTACAGAGGCAGGGAAGGGTCATAACAGCCTGCAGGCACCCATGGTCCGCCTTCCCTCTGATGACCGTGGAAAGAGAGTGCTCAACCTAGCCCAGCCACCACATCCTATCTTGGTGCAGCATGGTGTTGGCTCCACGTCTGTGCACCACAGGGACACACAAGGGAAATCACTGTGCCACCTCAGGCTAGTCACTGGCCCTTTTGGTGGCCCGTTCATTGTTTGAAACTGCTCTTATAAAACTAATTGTAGTGACTTTGAACAACGAAAGAACCTAGTAGCTCTAGAGCTGCTGGAAAAGCCCCAGGCTGAGTAGCAAAGAGCAAGAGCTGAAAGGGAGGCTTGGGGAGGAGTTGGGAGGGGGGTCTGTTTCCCGTGTTCCATTTCCTGACCTCATGTGGCTTAGTGAAGAACTGAGCCTTTCCATGATCCAGTTGGTTTTGGTCATAGTATTTTATCACAGCAACAGAAAGGTAACTAATACAGAGGCTGGAGAGATGGCTCAGCAGTTAAGAGCACTGGCTGCTCTTCCAGGGGACCCAGGATCAGTTCCCAGCACCCACATGGTGGCTCATAACCATCTGTAATCCCAGCTCCAGGGGATCTGATGCTTCCTTCTGGCTTCCATTGGCTTAGACATAGACCAGGTACATATACATGCATACATACATGCAAGCAAACACTCATATACATAAAATAGAATAAATCTTCTAGGAAAAGAAATATAACTAAGCAAACAAGCCACGCTGACCTAAAGCAGTGTCACAGGAAACAATCTGTGATCTCCACCGCCTTTGAGGGAAAATACTTTGCAGACCACAGCTCAGTCTCCACGTGTGTGTCACTTGATGACTTGAGAAATGCATCAGTTAGGCTGCTTCGGTCCTATTTGACTACCACAGTGTGCTTACGCAGACCTACCCAGAAGGCCAATGTGGTAGCTACAGGAGTCGATCGATGGGGTTTCAGATCACCCAGGACGAGTATCTCTGAGCACACCTGTGGGAGTTTCTAGGTTGGGTTAGCAGAGGTAGGAAGGCTAGGATGTACACCAAATCCTGGGTTGAATAAAAAGGAGAAACAAGCCGAACATCAGCTTGTGTGTGTGTGTGTGTGTGTGTCTGTGGCAAGTGTCTGTCTGCCTCTCTCTGAGTGTATGTGTGTATGTGCGTCCTTCTGTCTCTCTTTCTCTCCCTGTCTCTCTGTTTCTGTCTCTCTCTGTCTCTCTGTCTCTCTCTGTGTCTTTCTGTCTGTCTCTGTCTCTGCTGACTGTGGACACAGTGTGAGCTGCTGCTATGTCCTCCCCTCTGCCATGTGGACTGTTGAGTCAAAATAAACCCTTTTTAAGTTGCTTCTTCACAGGTGTGAAAAGCAATTAGAAGAGTTGTTCACTCCATGTGGTTTCTTGAGGACATCAGTTATGTCTGTCCCAAGCAGAACGAGCGAGGAAGCAGCATAGCCAAGCATGCTGTCCTATGGTTAACTTTCTATTTTGTGCACACGCGTGTGCACGCATCACATGTATCACTGTGGTGTGAGCCAGAGGATGACATCCAGGAGGCAGTTCTTTCCTTCCACCATGTGTGTTCTGGGGCTCAAAACTCAGGTGGTCTTAGCCGCAAGGGCCTTTGTCTGCTGAGCTGCCTTGCCCTTAATTTCTTGTTATGAGTAGAGATTAAGTACACTTTAAAAAATGCTATAGTGTAGGGTACTAAATATCTAAACCAGTGGTGTAGTTACTTATATCAGCTATGATGTGTGTTATGCTTTTATATAACTGGTCAACAGTATCACCACAGACACAAGTCACATGTGTGTTATGATATTAGGAAAGCTATGACATCACTAGGCAATAGGAAGCTTTCAGCTGCACCATATTTTGGTGGGACTACTGTCATGTATGTAGTCCCCTGTTGGCCAAAGCTGCATTGTACAACATATGACTGCTTTTGTATGTATGTGTGTATGTACACACAGGTCACACACACATTTCAAAGTTCAGCACTTCACCGCTGTGGGGCAGAATATTGTTGGGGAATGTCGAATAAGAGAGTTTATTTTCTATACACTTCTGTATTGCTTTAGGACCTTTGATGGCTCTTGCATGAAGGTGTTTCATTTTTGAAAACCCTATGACCTGGGCTGGAGAGATGGCTCAGAGGTTAAAGGCACTAGTTGTTCTTTTAGAGGGGCTGAGTTCAATTCCTAGCAACCTCATGAAGGCTCACAACTATCTATAATGAGACCTGGTGCCCTCTTCTGGCATGCAGGCAGAACACTGTATATGTGATAAATAAATAAATCTTTTTAAAAAGGAAAAGAAAAGAAAATCATACCATACAACCATATCTCCCACAGAAAGGTCCTGGGAGCAGAGGCCTGTGGAGGAAGGCCTAGAGCCTACTCACTTGTCTGTGACTTAAGCAGGGTGATCTCCTCGGGAGATATTTTCTTCTGGACTCCAGGCGCTGAAAGTTTAGAGGAGCGACTAGACTGTGCAGAGGAAGAGGAGGAGGAAGAGGAGGAGGAGGAGGACTTCGGACACGGCCACACACCAGTGCTGGAAGGCAAAGGGGCAGGGTTAGAATCATCTCGGGGCTGGAGCTGCCAGTCAGACTTTGACCTCACACTAGCAGTACAGGCGTTCACAGCAACAGGACTGACCTTGCTTCTCATAAACCCCTGAGTATGGGTTGCTGACTCACAGCCTGAAGGTACTGAAACTTACTCAAAAGATGCATGCTTTCAACCTGCCAGGTAAAGGTGTTTGCCTGAGTTTGATCCCTGGTAGCCCATATGACAAAAGGAGAGAACCTGTTAGCGTTCTCTAGCCTCCAGGGGTACATTCTGCCACACACTAGACAGACAGACAGACAGATAGATTTAATTCTTTTGTTTGCTTGATTGCTTTGTTTTGTTTTGGATTTGTCTGTCTGTTTGTTTCACTGTGTAGCCTTGGCTGTCCTGGACTCACTTTGTAGACCAGGCTGGCCTCTAACTCACGAGCCTCCTGCCTCTGCCTCCCTGAGTGCTGGGATTACAGATGTGCTCCACTAAGCCTGGCAGGGCTTTGTTGGGGGGGGGGGGGCAGGGTTGTTTGTTTGGTTTTTGTTTTGTTTTGTTTTTGAGAAAAAAAAAACAAACAAAGGGATTAAAGGCATGGATCACCACCGCCCGGCTCATAAAATGTAATTTTTTTGGAAGCTGGGCATGACAGAGCACACCTGTAATCCCAGCACTCTGGGAGGCAGAGGCAGGCAGATCTCTGAGTTTGAGATCATCCAGGTCTACAAAGTGAGTCCAGGACAGCCAAGGTTACACAGAGAAACCCCATCTCGAAAAACAAACAAACAAACAAACAAAGGCAGGCTGGATTGATAGCTGGTCAGTTAGGAGCACTTGTGGTTCTTCCAGAGGACCTGGGTTCAGTTCCCAGCATCTACACAGCAACTCACAACCACCTCTAACTTCAGGTCCAGGAATCTGATGCCCCCTTCTGGCCTCCACAAGCACCAGACACACATGTGATATGTAAATACATATATATTTAAACAATTTTTAAAAAACCAAGGTACTAGCTCCTTGGAAAGCAAAACACGGAATTGCTACGTAATCCAGCAATTCCACTCCTAAGTGTATACTCGAAAAAAATAGAAAAGAGACACTGAGGCAGACACTTGTGTGTGGAGTACACTACGAAAAAGCAGTAACACCAAGTATCCATCGACAAGTGGGTGAATGGGTGATTTGGCACCTGCTTCCACAGAGGATATAACTCAGCCTCGAAAGGAGTGGGGTTCCGCCACATGCTGCAGCGTGGGTGAGCCTGGAAACAATTATTCCAAGGGAAAGATAGGACAGATCACTATGACTCCACTGTGTGAGAGCAGGGAGTAGATGAGAGGTTTCCCGGAGCTGAAGAGGGACGAAGACTGCTCAGTGGATACAGTGGTAGCTGTAAAATGCTGTGGATGTCCTTAATGACACTTCACTGTGCACTTATAAAGGTGATAAAATGCCTTTGTCGGGCCTGGAGAGATGGCTCAGCTGTTAAGAGCACCGGCTGCTCTTCCAGATGTCCTGAGTTCAATTTCCAGCAACCACACGGTGGCTTACTGCCATCTATAATGAGATCTGGTGCCCTCTTCTGGGGTGCAGGTAGGACACTATGGCAAATAAAAATTTTTAATGCCTTTGTTATATTATATGTATTTTAAAGATGTATGGGTGTCTGTGTGTGTGTGTGAGTGTTTTGCTTGCAATGTAAGGGTTTCATGTACATGTAGTGCCCATAGACGCCAGAAGAGGGCATCAAATCCCCTGTAGTTAATGGGGGCTGTGAGGCACATGTGGGTGCTGGGAACCAAAGCCAGGACCCCTAGAAGGGCAGCCAGTAGATAGATAGATAGATAGATAGATAGATAGATAGATAGATAGATAGATAGATAGATAGATAGATAGATAGATGTATGTTTAAAAAAACAAAACAGAGGCCCAGAGAAGTGATGAAATTTGCTCACATTCACACAGATCATCAGTGGAAGACTTGGGATTTGAACCTGTGGAGCCTAACTCTAATGCTCTTGTCTCAGACTATCAGCTTCTTGCTCAATAGGTCACCCCAATGATGTCGACTCCTCCTTCAGACCCCCGACGCACACACTTACTCAGAGAGAGTCAACACCTTGGTGAAGCCTAGGGGCTCAACGACTCTTGGGCCTATTCCATTGGAGGACGAAAGGCTGGCCTTCCTATCCAGACAAGAGGACGTCCAGTTGGCCAGGCAACCCTCAGCTTCTAGAACATCGCTGCTCTTGGGGTCTGCAACACAAACACGGCCATTTAAGTATGCTGCTGGAACGCCCGATGGCCTATCTTCTTTCCTTCATTCTGTTTGCAAAACAGGGGAGGCGGGGAGCTGGTGAGATGGCTCCGTGGGCAAAGGGGCCTTGCTGCCAAGCCTGACAACCTGAGTTTGCCCCCCAGACCTCCCAAGGTGGCAAGAGGGAGCTGCCTCCTGAGGTTGTCCCTGACCTCCACGTGGGCACCATGGCACGCGCACCCCTGTGCTCACACACACAATAAATACTAACATTTACTATTTGCCGTGTCCTGGAGATCATGTTAACCCCTTACACACATTATCCTGTCGAGCGCTCTTAAGTGTTCTCATGCGCTTGCCTGGGTCAGGAAGAAAACAAACAGCTAGAGCCAAGTGTGGCAGCGGTACTTGTGGTGCCAAACAGTCGCTAAGCCAGACTGTGCCTGCCTCCACACAGCTCACCAGCCCTGAACTGCGCAGAGGAGGGGTCTGAAGCAGCTGGGTGTCACCGTGCGCTGTGTGGACGCCCCGGTACACCTCTCCAGGGGGGTTGCCCATGACAGGGTGAGCGAACACAGCTGGCGACCGTGATCTGGAGAAGTGCCTTCAGGCACATCCACATGACACCACCCGTTACCTAACCGCTCGTTTGTGAACATGTGGCACCTAGAACAGTGCCTGGCGTGACTCAGAACTCAAGCAAGTGTTTCAGTGGATACGTGTAAAGAAGTTTACGGGCTGGGGATGTTGTTCAGTTGGTAGCGTGCCTGCCTGTATCAAAAGGAGGAGAAGGAAAGTAATTCTAACCCTCCCAGCCACACTTAATGACAAGAGAGTCCTTCGAGTCTGTGGCTGTCATATGGAGACACGAACCATTCCTTGTTTTAATTTTGCTGTATGGTTTAAACTTTGTAAAGGTCAATCTGTTCTTCATCATTTTTCAGGCGTGTGTCCTGTTCAACTACTTTTTAAGAGTTGTTTTATTATTGTCACTCATGTGCGTGTGTGCACACCTGCATGTCTCTGTGTGCCCCACGTGTGTGCAGGCGCTCATGGAGTCCAGAAGAGGGCATCAGACCCCCTGGAGCTAGAGTTACAGGTGGTTGTGAGTGACCTACTGTGGGTGCTGGGAACGAAACTCCAGTCCTCCACCAAACAGCAAGTGCTCTTCCTGGCTGATATGCCTCTCCACAGCTCCACCCCACTTTCTCTTTTTAAAGGCCAGATGAGTCGGTGCTATATTTCTTCGTGAATAACTTCATAGAGCACAGAAGCTCAATAAGCACAACGTAATCACTTGTGATAAGAAAATTATACAAAACAAGAGTCTCTGAGTGCAGAATCCATCCTTAGACTCGGCACTAGTCCGTCAGCACGGGGCCACGCTGCGCACTGGTCCTCGGCCAATGCCCACCATTCACAGACTACAGGGCAATCACCTTTTTCATTCATATACCAAGGGAATCCTATCTCCTTCTTCCTCTCTTCCCCTCTGTCTGTTGTCTGTTTCCCATGATCCTCTTTGTCCTCCAAAGCCCGGGAACCTTAGCTTCATCTACCCCATTCTGACCTGCCCAGATATAGGCCATTTAATGAACCAATCAGGAAAATGTTTTACACAGGTTTACACAAACAAGGATGGGTGCATCCGGCAGGCAGTAACCAGATCTTGAATGCCGGTTAGCATTGGATCAACCTCCAACACTGGGACAAAGTTAAAGCCATTGAAAGGGACAGGAAAAAGACAGAGCTGTGAAAAAGGCAGGACAGTCTCCAGCAACCAGAGAAGGAACCATCTTTATTACTAGGCTACAAAAGAGCGCGCGCGCGCGCGCGCGCGCGTGTGTGTGTGTGTGTGTGTGTGTGTGTGTGTGTGTTTATTCCACTCAGACCTCAACAACACAAAATCAATGTTAAAAACAGCCCCAAGCCAAAACTCCACCATAAGTTTGGGAGCTCAAACCACACTGCTGCATAATTCATTTAAAAAAAAATCATAATGGAACTCACATTAGCGCCCAGTGGACTTAGGTCCTATGTGCCAAAACCTCTGGGATTCAACTAAAACAGTAATTAGAAACATGGATTCTTAAATACAAATGCTGTATTTCCTTGAGTAGAAGACACTAGCAATTTTAACAGCGTTGTATTATGCACCACAGAGAACAAAGGCTGTCAGTTAAAGACTCAATGCTTAACGACCTGGAATTCTTTTTAATTCTATTTCATGTGTGTGTGGTAGAGTGCATATAAATGCATCCTGTGAATGCAGGTTCCTGAGAAGGCCAGAAGAGGGCATCAGATGCCCTGGAACTAGATTTACGGGTGGCTGTGAGTCACCCAGTGTGGATGGTGGGAATCAAACTCAGGTCCTCTGAAACACTGAGCCGTCTCTCCAGTCCAAATAACCTGAAATTTTTACGTTAGAACCTTTAGAATTGGATATAGTTTTAATGATACTGTGACGTGTACATACAAAGAACAATTGTGGCTGGATGATGGTGGTGGCACGTGCCTTTCATCCCAACACTCTGGAGGCAGAGGTAGGTGAATCTCTGGGTTTGAGGCCAAGCTGGTCTACAGAGACGTTCCAGAGCAGCCAGGGCTACACAGAGCAACCCTGTCTTGAAAAAAACCAAAATAATAATAATAACAACAAATTGGTTACTATATTCTTTTTCTTGTTTTTTTTTTTTAGGTTTTTTATTTACTTTTATTTTATGTACATTGGTGTTTGACTGCATGTATGTCTATGTGAGGATGTTAGATCCCCTGGAACAGGAATTACAGTCAGTTGTGAGCTGCCATGTGGGTATTGGGAATTGAACCCAGATCTTCTAGAAGAGCAGCCAGTTCTCCTAACTGCTGAGCCCTCTCTCCAGCCCTTGTTTTTGTTTTTGAGATGGGGTTTCTCTATGTAGCTCTGGCTGTTCTGGAACTCTGTAGACCACGCTGGCCTCAAACTCAGAGATCCGCCTGCCTGTGTCTCCTGAGTGCTGGGTTAAAGGTGTGTGCCACCATTTCCTGGCTTGGCTAAAGTATTCTTACACATTCAAAAATCTGGCTACTGAATCATTTTCCAACTCAGTCACAGATTAGTCTGGAGTACATAGAAACAAGAGACTCCCTGGAAGGATCAACTTTGGAAAGTTGTCCTCTGACCTCCACAGGTGTGCACAGACACAGCAGCTGAACCCTAAGGATAGTATCAGAGGGTTGTAATTATCATCACTTGGGGAAAGTTGCTATACCCTCCTTTGCTTGTAAATATCTATTTGGGATTTCCTCCTCACTTCAAACCACTTAGTTCCTGAAGAGAAGACACAAAGACCTTTTAGATTATAACAAGCCTTAAGGCACTAGAGCTGGGCCGCGTCACCCTCTGAGCTATGTTGCTGTTTCCCAGCCTTGTGTCCCAATATTACTTGCATGATTGTCCCTGCCGGTGCTGCTTCTGTTCCATCAGGCCAGCCTTCCTGCCCACATGCTCATGGTCCACATACAGCCCCATGGGGACTTTCTTCCTTTCTGGCTTTTCCTCTTGCTACCTCTTCTGCTTCCTCCCTCTCTTTTTCTTTCTCTCTCTCTCTCACTCTCTCTCATGGCCCTTCTTAGACCCCAAGCCTGGGAACCTAATCTCTGCTTACTTCTCTTCTGCCCAGCTATAGGCTGTCAGCGAGTTTATTTAACCAGTCAGAGAGTATTGGCTGTAACCGTATCTTGGGGTCCAGTAATTAACAACTGAATGCATAGCACCAGGCCAACCCCCAACAGAGAGTCTTGCCCCTTCACAACTATTTTGTCTGTGTTGTGATTCAGGGATATTTTAAAAGTATTACATCATCCTGACCAGTGAGCACTGAATTACACCTAAGAGTTCAGCATACTTCCTAGTCTTCTTAACAAGTTTTACAGTAGCAACACTCAAATGAAACAGTGATGCAGGGCATCTGTGATGGGAAAGTTTGTCTGGTGCAAGGATGGACAAGAGTCATCTTCTAGCTAAATGTCTCAGTTTCCATCTCAAGCTGATTACAGAATCTCGAACGTGTGCTGGGGACATTAAACATGGCCTCAAGATGCCTCCTCCTGTCCAAGCAGAGGAAGAATGCATTCTGACGCTAATGTTGGCAATGCTCTAGGGAAGTCAATTACCTCCCCACACCCAGTTCCCAGCCCCAGCCATTTTTTTGCTGCCTAGCTCAAAGGCTGTGGTGAGGAATAATAAGCTCAAGGTTCATAGGTGCCTCCAGAAGTTCACCATGCATCAGGAAACCTGATGTTTTGATGCAATAAATGCCAAGTAAGCAATGACTGTCTACAACACTGTAGGATAAGAAAAGATTATACTATCTTTAAAAAAAAAAGTGGGGGGCTGGAGAAATAGCCTAGCCATTAAGAGCCCTTCTGCTCTTGCAGAGGACTGGAACCCATCTTCCAGCACTCTCTTCAGGAGGCTCAGAGCCACCTGTAACTCCAGCTCCAATGGATCCAGCACCCTCTTCAGGCCTCCATGGGTGACTGCATGCATGTGTACATATCCACACACATACGTATTAATTTTTTTGTTTTTCAAGACAGGGTCTTACGGGTCTTACTTTCAAGACAGGGTCTTGCTGTATACTGTCCTGAAACTAGCTCTGTAGACCACGCTGGCCTCTGATTCTGCCTCCCAAGTGCTGAGATTAAAGGCGTGCACCACCACTGCCCTGCTATATATATATATATTAAGACCAAAGGAAGATTCTGGAGACCAGAAAGGAATTCTGGGGGAAAGGGAATTTGGAAGAGAGTCTGTGTCTTTGATGCCATCTGCCAACCTCAAGATTTCCACGTTTGGGCAGGAACAACAACTTACATAACAGAAGGGTGCTCTCACACTTGTCTCCTCAGCTAACTCAGACCCCTCTGTCTGGCAGGGAGAAAAACAATACAGCAAACCATCTTAATAGGAAGGGTTTTTAAGTTTGTTTTTTTTTTTAAATATAGTTCCCCAATTCCTGCTTTATCTGCTCAAGAAGCAAGGGAAAGATCTAGAGTGAGTGACTATTTAGAACCCCGCATATCAACTCCGTAGCAGCAAGGAAAGTCATAGGCCCTCCCTGCTGGAGAAAGGCATATACCCACACACTGTACAAGGAGCTAGCTTGTGGGGCCCTTCCGTTCCCCAAGGCCTAGACTCTCTGTCAGACTGAACCCTCGAAGTGTCATATTGAGACACATTGAGAGTAGAACCCCCAATCACAAAGCACGGGTCCTCCCTAGCTCACCCTGAAAGTGGCTTCCTCCTTACTCCAAACCAGACTGGAAAAACAAAGTTCTGAAGCTTAAAGTTAGGCTCCCAGAGGTTGGCAGTGTAGTTCAGTTGTCAGAGCACTTGCCTAACATATAAGAAGCTCTGGGTCAGGCCCAGGGCTGCACAGGACCAGACCTGTAATCCCAGCACTCGGGAGGTGGGGGCAGGAGGATCGGAATTCAAGGTCATGGTCTGCTACATGGTGAGTTTAGGTTAATACAAACTATGTGAGACTGGGAAGGAAGGAGGAAAGGGGTGGGGAGGCGAGCTGGGGTCCCAGCACCCTCTTCTCCTTGCTAGAAGGAGACATGGGGCCGAGGGGACTGCGGACAAGGTGAGACCTCTCCAGCCCCTTTTGCAGCACACTGGCCACTGAACTACAGTCGTGACAGCTTGAGCCTGGACTCACGCCGAAGGGGTTTTGGGAAAGTGTGCTGTCCTCTAAATTCTGTGCTCTCAAGAGAAATGTGCTCCCACCCTTCCTCCTCCACCTTAAAAGCCAATTACAGAGTAAGTGCACCAGCCATTATTTAATTTAAACCTGCCTTCGAGTGCTCACAGTTTCCAGCTGAAGTGCCCCATCCAATAAGCTGTATCACATATCTACTAATATCTGAGCAAGGGAAAACCAAATGGATGCGGGCAGACTCTAGAGGCGAGCAGAATCAGGTCAGGGCCTAGCCTCAGTATTTATTGAGCAAAGCACCAGGCAGGCAGCTCAAGTCTTCTGGCCCCCTTACTCCTCCGCAGTGGGCTTCCCAGCTATTAGGAGTCCAGTCAACAACACATTCTAATCTCTGCTTTCTCCTGTGGTTGAGACAGGGTCTCATGTAGCCTAGAAGACTTTGAATGGATCCTCCTGCCTGCACCTCCTGTGTGCCCCTCTTTCTGATGGAATTCTCTGCCTAGCCAGCCCTTGAATGCAGACATGAGCTCATTGGGTATGTCCCCTAACTAGCTGATTTAGCTTGGTTCTGGAATTTTCTCCAGAACACCATTTTTTTTTTTAAAAAAAAGACTTAGTTCCCAGTCTGTCTCACTGTTGGGTGGAACTTTTTTTTTTTTTTAAGTCGGAGGCCATGGAGGAAGAGAGAGTTCAAACACTTGCTCTCCTGGGGACTGGATTCCTGTTCCCAGCATCCACATGGCAGTTCACAACCATCCATAACTCCAGTTCCAGGGCATCCAACACCCTCTTCTAATTTCTGCAGGCACCTGGCACAAATGCACTACATATACAAACACGCAGGCAAAACATACACATAAAATATATTTTTTTTAATTAAGTAAGAGGTCTTGGGTCATTGGAGGATGCCTTTGAGGGGAAGAGTGTGACCATAGCTTTTTTTTCTTCATTGTTTTTTGACTAAGAAGGAGATGCTTTAATCTATCACACATGATGTCACTGTGATATGCCACCGGAAGTCCAAAGCAACAGGACCATGAACAGAAACTCTACTGTGAGCCAAGCCAACAATGACAGAGGCTTGTGATCCCAGCACTTAAGAAGCAGTGGAGAATTCCAGGCTACCCTGGGTTACATAGGGAAGTAAGTAACAGTGAAGCTCAATTCAAACAAACAAACAAACAAACAAACAAACAAAAAAACCTATAAAGCCCTGAGTCCTTTTACCTCCATAAACTTATACGCCCACCCAGTCTTTTGATTTCTTAGAACTCAACTGTAGCTACTTTCCACCTTGGTCACGCCCAAGTCGCTTGTCTCTGGAACCTTCTCCAGCTCTCTAGTACAGGCCGCTCTTGAGATAGAGGGAAATTGGCATCCGCGTTTGCCATTTCCGGTATTGGTAGCCTCACCTGGGCACACGGCGATTTTAAACGTGCAAAGCAACCGGAGACAAAAGATACTTGTTAGAAAGGCTGTCATTCAAAACCAACATACCCCATGAGCCATTGAGAGTCAAGAGGCAGAGCAAGGGGACCCTAAACCTCATTGGGCCTCCTAGTGCTGGTCGTGAGTTTAGGTGCAAAGTCCCCTCCCTCTCCCAGGACTCAGGGCTCCAGAGTACCTGCCCCGCCCCGCCCTGCTCCAGGGTCTCTTTTCCACCCCTGAGTCCTACACCCACTTCCCCAGGGGGTGGGCGGAGCCCTTCATCTACCTTTGGAGTACTCCATGGAGGATATGGCGCAGCTGAACGCACCAACTGCCAGCAGAATGCCAGGATGCAGAGGGAAAGCAAGGGGCTGCCTACCACCGCCTGCAAGGCTCCGTCCAGGGTTGCCAAGACAACGCGCCACTTCCTAGGGGCTTTGCTGCACCGATCTCCCTGCACACAGCCCTCTGTCCTGGGTCGCACACAGCCCTCTGTCCTGGGTCGGGGGGGTGGGGGGGTGGGGGGGCGTGTCTCAGGCGTGAGAGCTGCAGAACCTCAGGATTTTGTTTCAGCTTGTGGCTCTTTTCCAACCACTGCCACTGCTGCCTCCGCAACCTCGGGTGGCCGTGAGCGACGCGCCCTCCGCAAAGCTTGCGGATGCCGGTTTAGAACTGGCCCTGATTAGACGGGATTCACCTGCCACTTACAGCTCCCTTTTCTGGGCCAGGCGCCCTGCCGGACGCTGTCTTACTTCAAGAGCCAGCTGCATTTTCAAAATAGAAAACTGACTTTGAACAAAGGCTCGTTCAAGGTCACCCAGAAAACAGATTCACTCTCGAGTTTTGCCCTTACAAATCCACCCTTCTTCTCCTGATACAGATTAAAATTGATCTTTCTAGCCCTTTCCCTAATAAATCTTGCATAAAGAGGTGGGTTGTCCCTCCCCCGCCCCCTCCGCCCCGGACACAAGCTTAGTCTCCAAATTTATATTGAGACCTAGTTTCTCCCATGGTTAAGTGAAAAAAAAAAAAAAAAATGAATGTTTTAAGTAATTAATTTAAATACAATTTAAATACTCATTCCTATTTAGACACTCATGCCGTATGCATGTGCCTGCACGCGTGTGGGAAATGCTTGACTATGCATGTGCCTGAGGTCTATGGCAGCTGCTGTCCGTCACTGCGCTTCGCCTTATCTTTTGAAAGGGGCCTTCTCACTGCACCTCCAGCTCACCGTTACAGCCGGACTGGCCAAGAGTGCCGGGCGTAGGATCTGCCTACCTCTGCCCGTCCCGTGTGGCTTTTGGTGGATGCTGGGGATCGAACTCGGGCCCTCACGTTTGTTTACTCAGCAAGCGCTCTACCCACCCAACAAACCATCTTTGTTTTTAAGAATTGTATTGATGGTAACAGAAACAACAGAGAGACTGTAGAAATCTTGAGCACGAGAAGGCCAAATATTGCATAGATGGGAAAGGCTCCCTCCAGGCCACTCCCCTTACTGAGGAGCTTTCCAGGAGTAGGTATCCACTGGAGAAATAAAATAAATAAATAAATAAATAAATAAATAAATAAATAAATAAATAAATAAATAAATCCAGAGCTGGGCAGTGGTGTGTTTTAATCCCAGCACCCCGGAAGCTGAGGCAGGCAGATCTCTGTGAGTTCCAGAACAGCCAGACCCACACAGAAAAAACTCTGTCTCGAAATAAATAAATAAATAACCCCCAAAAAAGAAAAACAACAACAAGAATAAACAAAGAAGCCAGGTCAGACAGTGGTGGCACACGTCTTTAATCGTAGCACTCAGGAAAGGGAGATGGTTGGATCTCTGTGAGTTGGAGGCCAGCCTGGTCTACACAGTGAGTTCCAGAACAGCCAGGGCTATACAATGAAACCAGGTTTCAGAAAAAAAAATGAAGACAAAGAAGAAGAGGAGGAGGAGGAGGAGGAGGAGGAGGAGGAGGAGGAGGAGGGAGGAGGAGGAGAAGAAGAAAAAGAAGAAGAAGAAGAAGAAGAAGAAGAAGAAGAAGAAGAAGAAGAAGACAATGACAGAATAGCCACTTCTGAGGTCAAACACATTTAAATATTGTCAGTTTCACACGATTAATTTTGATTGTAAAATGGTAGCATTCTTATCAGGGTCCCAACAAGGCCGTCAAAGGTGCAGAAGGATTAGGAGGGCCCAGCTCTCCCTGGGGCAGAAGCAAAGCATTATAAAGTACTGATAGTTACAACTGAAGTGCTTTTCGCATTAATGATAAGTCTTTATTGTAAGCATCCCTCTTAATGTGATTTTTTTTTTTTTTTACTTAAAAAAAAAAAAAAAGCTAGGATGTTGGGGCCAGAGTGGCTTGGCTTTTATATTATTGAGACAGAATCTGTTCCAGGCAGCCTCAGCTAGCCCAGAACTCTCCATGTAGACCACGCTGGCCGTGAACTTACTACCTGCCCCTGCCTCTCTACCCTGAGTGCTGAGATTATTAAGTGGCTTGACTCTCCAGCTGAGAGGAAGTACATCTTTCCCAAGTGCCCTGCCTGCCTCGTTAGAACTGCCATCCAAGCAGTCAGGTGGACTGCCCTCCTGCTGGCACCAGACACTCGGACACTCCAAGGACTTGAGCAAGTCACACAGCTACCCAACAATTGCAGCTGCTTGCTGCTGCTGCCCTCTGGCTCCTGGAGGGGCTGCCCTGCCTGTGACTGCTTCTGACAGCTTGCTCTGGACTCATTGTCACCAAAAGCTCTGGTAAGCTCTCAATGACCTTGCCTTTCCCACCCAGACCAGAAGAGAGGAGCTCTCTCCTGGAAGCCCAGTAGAAGGGCTGTAACTGGTCCCTGATCCGAGTGAGAGTCGCCTGTGATTGGTGCAAACACCCGGCTGTGTAAGCACGGCGTCTGGCCCCCTTAGTGAAGAGCAGGGAGGAGATGCTCTGCTGTGCCACCTCCTGGGAACATAATGACAGGCCAGATAGAAAGTATATGAAAGTGTGTGTGTGTGTGCGCGCGAAGTATGTGTGTGCATACAGTGTCTGTGTGTGCAGTAAGTGTGTTTGTTTAGTGTGTGTGTATGTGTGTGTGTGTGTGTGTGTGTGTGTATACATATGTGCATACCTGTGCAGATGTATGCTCTTTGCAGACTGAGCCATCTCCCTAGGCCTTCCTGCCTCCCCCCATACTAGAGTAGTCTCGGCTGATAACAGAAGATGGTGAAGCAGGCAGCAGTGGAGATAGCAGCAACAGATCAGGAGAGAAAGCTCAGGAGTCCCGGAGGGCTGCCACGCCTCAAGGGCCAAGTTTCCAGACACCTGTCACAGAAGCCACCGTGGAGAGCTAATGGTCCAGCGTCCTAAACACGACACCCGGGCCACTGGCCGCTGTGTGAGTAAGGGTCCCGGTGCCTGATGCCTGTGCGGGGGCTGTAACCCTCGAAGGCGCCTCCCATCGGCTGCTGCCTGCTGCAGTCTGCTAGCGCTACCGCTAGAAGCGGAGGGTGCCGGAAACCGCCGGGTACTGGGCCACTGATGTTAAAGTCAAGCCTCCAAGCCGAAAGTCTCCGGCTTCTAAATGATTTACAACTCTAAACCTCTGGGGCTTGGCCGCTCGGCTCACTCTGCCAGGACTAGGAAAAGCTCGTCCTCAGCGCTCTGTGATTCCTACAGGGCTTCTCTGTGTCCTACAGGGGACACAGAGAAGAGATGGACCTGAGCCCACGCCTCTGACCTTCACTCTACAGGCTCCAGCTTCTTCAGCTCAGTGACCTGGAGTTTGGTTCCAGGTGCAGCAGGGAAGCAGGGGCAGAGCTGTGGGCCACAAGTACGAGTGTTTGGGTATGGGGAGGGGAGGAGACGGACGAACACGGAAGCGGGGTCGGATGGAACAGCTGGTGTTCTGTTTTCCCACACCTCCTGCAACCCCCACCCTTGAGAGAAGCTGGGGCAGCAGCAATAATTAGGTGTCTGGACTCTCCTCCTTAACGGGTCTTGGCAAACCAGGATAGGATGCTGTGAAAAGAAACGTGAGGCGGGCATTATCTGAGGAGTCCCGTACATCGGTAAGGAGGCCATGTGTTTGTTAAGGTCCAAGGGCTGCAAGTCAAATTGAGGATTGGAGGCTCGGCCGCACTGCCAAAACCCCTATAGGGAAGCCTTCCTTCCTCAATGTCAGAAAAAGGTCACCCACTGCAAAACATCATTGCGCCCGTTTGTACCGTCAGGGGCCACCAGAGGGCAGTGTAAAACCAGGCATGGGGAAGAGGATGCCGCGTCCTCTAGTACACCGGCTTCCTGGGGGTCTCTCCGTGGGAGAGAGCGAGAAATAATCGTTGGATGATTTACTGACATACACACAGTCTACTGACCTTCAGTGGCGGGCTGTGTTACAAAATCGGGTTGAGAAAGTGTAAGTGACCCCAGATCCAGCTAACACTCCCAGATCTACCGTGGACCTTGCTCTCAGGGTCAGGGCCCATAACTGGATACCCTCTGTGTTCCAAGAATAGCGCTCAGCACAGAGACTCAAAGGTGAATAAAACAGTCTTGAGAGCTGGAAAGATGGCTCAGGAAGTCAAGGGCTTGCTCCCTAAGCATAAGGACCTGAGTTCAAGTCCCAGTAAAAGAGCCAGGCATTTAGTGTCTCGCCTCGGGAGACAGACAGGAACCACTAGTCTTCCTTGCCCTCGTTTTCATAGTGAACCGGGTGCGCACTACAAGCCCATAGTCCCAGGCCTTCACGTGCGTGCTCTCTGCAATGAGGGGTCCATCTGCCATCTCACTACCGGCCACACCACCGTCACTCCCATTACTGACTCTGGAGGCAGAGGCAGGTGGATCTCCAAGTTCAAGGCCAGCCTGATCTACAGAATAAGCTCCAAGAGAGCCAGGGAAACCCTGTCTCAAAAAACAATGAGAGGAGAGAGAGAGAGAGACAGAGAGAGATTCTGCCAGCAGGGGGCAGACTCTTGCGGGAACCTAATAAGCTGTAAACAGTTAAACACTGCAAAATTTTGTCTTTTTTTTTTCAAGAGAAAAAAAAAGTATAAATAAATGTTATTGGAGCCTTCAAAACAGCCAGTACTTTGAAATCAACATGCTAACGTGGATACCAAGATGCCGACTCCAGAAAAAATATCCATGAGCCCTTCCTTGTGAAGCAGAATATGAGCAGAACCTACCCTCAAGGTAGTGGCAGGGCTCACAACCTCAGATTATCCACTAACCCTGCTCAGCAGGCATAATCTAGGAGGGACACTAGATCCCAGGTGTTGTTGGCATACACCCTGTCCCTACGCCAAGCCCACTCCCATTTCCACGTGTTTCCACTCACTAAGCATGTGTGTTTGAACATTTGGGTCTCCAACTAGTAATGCCATTTGGGAAAGCTGTGTAACATTTAGGAGGTAAAGCCTCACTGGAGAAACTGAGGGTGAGGATTGAAATTTTGTGGCCTCACTCCCGCCTTCTCTCTGCTC